CCTCCTGAAAAGGAGGGAGAAAAGAACCGCTTGTTTGAATGCAATGTCTGAAGTGCTCCTCATAGACATTGAGCGAATTAAAAAGCGTCTGCCAACTAACAGTACGGAAAGTCTTGTTCTGTAGCATCTGGTACACTTGTCTAGCCCCTTCCTCACTGCAAGCCTGTAAAGGTTTTATGAAAACACAGTCGTGATTTTTTGGGCTTACCAATCCAACCAGCATCTTGAGAAAAGCAACTAATGTAAGGTAGCTTGAATGGTCTTCGCTTATGAATCTTATGAAGTTCCAAAGAACTTCATTATCAGAAACAAGTGCTGGTTCTCTCTGATAAACAACAAATTCCGTAAGAGAACGTAAGAACAATGGAAAATCACCTGGTAGACTTCTGATATAAGCTCGAGCAAAGATATAAAAGGATCAGCTTGTGTTTGCATAGCTTGACGGCGTGTTATCAAATCATCCTCCATTGGCTCCTCGGTCGGATACGGATCAGAAAACATGGCGACATTCTTCAAATCTTTGATCTATTGAGGACGTCAAAAAGTAAATCCTAGAAGTGTTGAAGAACATTTGACGTACCTTCTCTCTGCCGATTGGATTGGACAAAAATATTATGAAAAGTTTGTGCAAATAAGCATTGTACATGAACACAAGATCTGGATCATCATTCTGCCATGCCATATAAATAACCAGCCTCGCAAACATGTAAATAACCGTTACCTCGAAGGCGGCAGCTTTTAAAATTTTCTCAACGAGGAATTTAAAAACGTTCTGCTCGCAAGCGTGATCAAGACATGCTCGAGCATTTGTTATATCAGATTGTGATTCGTTGATTGAAATACCGCTCGTGTCAACGTTAGACATAAGGAAGACCCCCCATACTAGTCTAATGACATCTGTAAAACCTTTCGTTGTGCTCTCAAGCCCCACCTCCATAACCTGAAGAAAAATCAGGAGAGAAACTATCTTGCAGAACTGGTACCTGATTATGGAACTCACGGCGAAATACAGCATCTGGCGAAAGCACAGATCCCATCTCGTGACCACCACCGAGAGCGTCCGATATTAACGAGATTGCAAGGGTAAACATCACTGTGTACGCTATCTGCGACAGGGGATATTGTAAATGATCAGCACGCATAGGAAGACACCTGAAGCTTGACGACGGATTGTGACGAAAATGCATCTCCCGAACAGTCCTTAACAAGACCATAGATGTCTTTTGCTTCTTGCGAATCTACAAGAAGAGAAAATAAACTACAGCAACAAAGACCTCAGAAACTTACTGATCCGAACAATAAGGCATGAAAAGACCAAACACTGGCATATGCTAAGCCGTTCTCTAAGCGCGACGTCATGACGTAGCACAAGAGCTCCCCTGGCATCCATAACGTAAGGCTCAACCCCTGGCCCGCCTAAGCCAGATGGATCTTCGCGACCAAGTTCCTGTTAAGTGGCATATAGTCCCCGATGCGATACAAGTGACGCAAGGGTACCTTGATAAGTGTCACAAGTCGCTTGCGTAGTCCAGCGTCAATCAAACTCTCGATGTATTGTCGAAGATCAACGACCAAGTCTGGATCAAGCTCTTCGTCAAGCACAACGGCCTGTTCTGGCAAGAAAAGAACTCATAAGAAAACAGACATTAACAAAGCCGCAAACTTTACTCTCAGAATAAGCTGCAAGGAGTTGATTAGCGCTCTTCTTTCCGTGAACCACAACCCTGCTGATAGTCGGAGGCCCTCGAGAGGCTCACGTCCTAAGAGATTCCACTGCGCAAAACAAAAATTACGTACGTGAGACCCGCACAAACTTAAGGTCGTTTTTCACCTCTTGATGAGCAGCGACGAGAAGACTCACGCAATCGATCTCATTCAAATGATAGTCGTCACTGAGTTTCAAAGCCTGCGATCAAAGCAAAGAACGTTAAAAGCTAAGAAGGACAACTCCCAGCATACAATTTGAACATCCTGATCGTCGAGCACGGTGGGCGGCGCGTCCGGCAGCTTCACTTCTTTCGATAAAACCTCTGTTCGATCGGCTGCCTTGGGCTCCTGACGCACATTTCCTCGGGGTTTAGGGCTTTGCGGAAGAATCTCTACGGTGACCTAGCTTACCGGATAGAGGAGGAATGATTCGAAGTCTGGGCGGCACAAATGCAGCATATGGAAGAGCTCCGTGCGCTGCTGTGGCGATGGCGATCCTGCCAGCGCCACCTCCACTGTGGATTGCAGGCGCCTGTAAGAAACCATCGCGTCGAGAGTAATCCCTAGAACATAGTGAGGGAAAGAGAGCTTCGAAATCCAGGAGCTTTGGCTACTATATCAATTGGACGGTTCAGATCTTTCCACGGGGGCATTATCGACGGCCCAGAGCTCTTAAGCCACGCAACCTTAAAACTCCACTGGAAAATTCCAGATTGTAGGGTTTCTGGCTGGAAGCATGCTGCGATCGCCAATCACAGTCGTTCTAGTTTCCGTGCTGCTGATCTTCTCGATTCCTGCGGAGAGCAAGGATCTCTACAAGGTACTCGCACAGTCCTGAAGAATTTGCTGCTAGAAATTTCATTCTTCTCGTCAGATTCTCGGCGTGGACAAGAATGCTGATCAACGCGCAATCAAGAAGGCTTACCACAAGCTCTCGCTCCAATATCACCCGGACAAGAACAAGGCGAAGAACGCGCAAGACAAATTCTCCGAGATAAGCAATGGTAAGCGTCATCCTGTGTTTTTTCTTTCAAGGGAGTGCGTTCTAACGAGGGTGTAGCTTACGAGATTCTTAGTGACGAGAAGAAGCGCAAGGAGTATGATCTCTATGGAGAGTCACCGCCGGGAGGAGGTTTTGGCGGCGGCGGCGGCGGTGGCGGTGGCTTCGGCGGTGGCGGTGGTGATCCTTTCCAGAGAGATTTTCAACAACAACAGCACCAGTATGGCAATGCTCAGCATGAATACCAGCAGCGCTATACGTTCCACTCCGATGGACCGAATGGATTCAGTTTTGACGGCTTTAACTTTGGTGGCTTTGGGAGCTACATGGACGACATGTTTGGGGGATTTTTTAAGAACTCGAATCCGGGCCCCGAGTTTGGATCGCAGCTACAGCAGTTAAGTTCGGCAGAGTTCACGAGACAAGTCCTCAATGACTCGGAAACCTGGCTGCTGCTCTTCGTTTCATCAACAGCGCTCGACCAAAGAACTCGTATCCTTGAAGAGTTTGCCAAGCACATGAACGGGGTTATCAAGGTACGTGCAGTTTCTTTCTTTTACGTTTCATTTTTGTTTTCTCCCTTTGACGAATGTTTTGATGCAGGTAGGAATCATAAACTGCCAGAGTAACCAGCTCCTATGCAAGCAACAGCGCGTTTCGGTACTCAAAGAGCCTAAACTTTACATTTGTCCGTGGGTGCCATCCAGGAAACGATCCTTGGTTGAGTACACGGGTGAATGGAAAGTGAAGGCACTTGAGGCCTATAGTGTGGAGTTCCTTCCCAGACTTTCGACAAGGATAATTGGGGATGAGGAGGACATTTTCGAGAAAGACGACAACCTTCCCGGAGCCGTGCTTTTGACGAAGAAAAAAGAGACCCCGGCAATGTGGAGAGCCTTGAGCGGAATCTTCCATCAGCGCGTAGTATTTTTCGAGAAAAAGGCAAGAGATAGTTGCGTTTCGTGGTTCTAAAAACAGTTTTTACGTCCTCCCACAGGTACAGGATATATCCGACACGCTGGCAAGAAAGTTCAAAGTGACAAAACTTCCGGCGGTGGTCGGTGTTCTGGCAAATTCGGACGCAACCATTCTATCCCAAGGCCCGAACATCAAACCAGATGACTTGAAAGGGCTCCTCAAAGATCTAGAGACCAAACACAGACACGTTCGCAGGGAGAAACGCGAGACCAAGTCCAGTGACGGCATTTCGAAGCTGACCAAGGAAAACTTTTCCAGATTATGCTCCGAAACCGCACTTTGTGTCATCGCGGTCACGAGATCCAAATCCGCAGAGGAGAAGGCGAAAAAGATTCTGCTTGAGGTTTGTGTTGTCCGCGATTGAGAGCTTTCACAGGACTAAAGTTCCTTTGTTTCGCAGGTTTCTCGGAAGAACATCCAGCCCGCTAATAGATCTTCCTCGGTCGCTGTCTCGTACGTGTACGTGGACGGTGCTTCTCAGGCCAAATTCGTGAAGGCATTTGGAGACAAGAGGCTAGAGAAGCAAGATCCGGCATTGGTGGCTTTCAAGTTTCGAAAGAAGAGGTTTGCTACTCACACAGGCCCATTCACGTCAGCTGCAATTGAGAACTTTGTGAGCGAAGCTCTCAACGGCGAAGTGCAGTTCCAAAATGTGAAGAAAGAGCCATTGATCTCCTGAGAAACTCGTCTTCTCGCGAAGAATTGCACTCTAGCTTGTAATCTCCTTTTTGCCTCTTCCAGGATCGATCAAGCACGCCGGTCAAGTAGAACGCATCAATCAACAGTCGATTACATAACTTGTACAAAGAAAAATATCCAAAAGTAGTGTACGGTAGAAGAATATGCATTGAGAGGATTAACTCCAGATTTTAAGCAAAAGTTTTTTTTCAAACTTGACATAAATTCAAAGACGAAGTGTTTTTCTCGTCTTTGATCATTCTCAAACTTCGAGCTCTTCTCGCAAGTTATTCTACTGGGATTAAACTTCCTTTTGTTTGGGACATCCAAGAAAATTTTTTAACTTCTTTCATTTCGGATCGATCAAAGCACACACCGGTCAGGTAGAACACATCGATCGATCAACAAGCACCACAATTGACGAACTTGCAAACGTGGCGCACATCGGCTGTGTCCGCGTGTCAAGGTATCTGAACGGTTGGGATTCCATAAAACGCCGACGGCTGGAGATCTGCGGATGCGCGTAAACCACCGTTGGATACGACATCGACGTCTCGAGATCCAACGGCGCGAGATGGCCGCGCCAAGATAACGGGCCCGATGAAGCCAGCTTGGTAGGGATCAACGACATCGAGGTGGCCTGGGCGATCGACGGCGGCGGTGATTTGTAGCGCGGAAACTCGACGGTCTGGATTGCCTCAAGCGCCCAGCCGTAGGGCCTTTGTTTGCCGCCTTGAATGCTGTGTTGCATTGCCCTCTTTTCTCATTTCTTCTTCTTTCTCCATCGTCTCGGCGCCAAAGATCTCGTTCGATTCATTGGCACTGGCGCGTTGCCCGATCGGCGCGTGTGGAATTCGGATCCTCTTTGTGGCGATCCAGGGCTAGATCAGGCGGCGGGGTCGTTTCTTCTGCGGGATCGCCGGCTGGGGCGCCCAGAATTTGGCGCCGATTAGGCCTCGCACGGCTTGCCCTGGGCGTGGAGCGGCAGGAATTGGAGCATTTCTTGTGCGATCTGTGGCGGATCAGGGATTGGGCGCCGGGAGGGTTTACATTGAGCTGCAGGTCAGTCTCGGATCAGATCTATGTGATGCCTGCTTGCCGATCTGCCGTGTGATCTGTGCCGGATGATTGCGATTGCGGGATTATGCATTCCTGGGTGATCAGATCGCCGATCTTGCGCGGTCTTGGCACTGCTTGGCCTTGTAGGTCATCGTTTTGTGTGCGGACCTGCATTCTTTCTGCCTCCTTGGATCGTCGATCTCAAAGATCGGGAGATCTTGGGTGCCTGGGCTGCCTGGGATTGTCTGTTTGGGTTTAGTTTGTGGATCTTGGGTCTTTCTAGGCAAAGATCGCCTATCTTTCTCTTACGCTAAAGAAGATGCTTTGATGGTGTTTCCAGGATGCGCAAAAGCCCTTCTGGGTCCTCGTGGCTGGCCGACTGGAGCAGAGATCGATCCAAATGCGACGCTCTTGTCACGATTACAGGCTAGTGAGTTCTACAGTTTAGCGGCATCAACCGGGTTCTTTCCCTGGGGATCTTAAGCCTTGCATTAAGGTGGAAATGATGCGGTTTTCATTGCAATGACGATCTGCAGGCCTGGTGCCAAGAGATCAGCTTAAGATCTGGGGATCTTAGTAGGGATCTGTGAAAGTGAAGTAGCTCGTATCTCAACCATGGAGAAGGTTAGCGTCACGTCTAGTACTACCGCGGGGGATTTCCCAGGAACTATGAAAAAGGTTGGTTTTTCCTCTCATTCTAGGCTGAGCCTCTACGTTTGCTTTCTTATTTCTTACTGTATTTTTGTATGGCTAAACTTCAGGTTAAGCACCTCATTGAGTCGGAGTATTCATCAATGGATGAAGATAATGACTCGAAAGTCGAGATTGCGAAGCTCGGCGAGAGATCCGATGAGGAGTGGATCAAGCCCAAGCTCGAAAGAAAATCAGAGCTTTTAGACGGCAAAAGCCTGTGTGGACGGCTGGCGGTGATCACCTCACATTCTCCACCTCGCAATCACGCATCGGATGGCGCAGCTTCCTCGTCTGAGATGTCCCCTGGTGCAACCAGTCCGTCCAGGAGTTGTACGCAGTGTGGAGCGACCAAGACTCCACTCTGGAGAAATGGGCCTTGTGGTCCCAAGGTACTTAAATACTTTCCTTTTATCCTTTACGTTCTTCCAATCGGTGTAGAGATCTCTAACCTTGGGCTCTCTCCTCTTTTGGTGCAGTCTCTTTGCAATGCATGCGGCATTCGTTACAAGAAGGTTGGCAGCACTAAACGCACCTCGAACAGCAGCGATCCACACGAGCAGCCACAGAAGCTGTCGACAAAGTCTCCGAAGCGTAAGGCCGAGGCAGTGGAGGAGACCGAGCGCTCACACGGCCACAGGAGGAGCCGGCTCGTCGTCCGCGGGGAGAAGCGCGAGGCCGTGGAGGAGAAGGCCTCGTGTAGCAGCAGCCAGGTGGTGTTTAAGCAGCAGTGCTCGTCCCGGCAGGCTCCGGTGCCACGGCGAGTGTGCACAAGGCGGTCGCTCCCCTCGGGCTTCCACACTCCAAAGTGGGGCAGCAGGTCCGCTAGATTCAACACGTTTAGGAAATCTCATCAAACCAAGGACGAGGAAGAAGGCGCGGCACTTCTCATGGCTCTGGCTTGCGGCCTCGTCAACGCGTAGCTCCTGAGAGGTACCTCCTTTTCTCTCTTCCACAACATCAATCCTTTCAAAGCTGTGCTGATCCATCAAGCCGCGTTCTACAGGAACACCTCTCTCAGCTCTTTCCCTGTGAAGCTGGAAGAACGAATCGAGATCTCAAGCGAGCTAGAATGAGTGGCAGGAGGATTAAAAATAACAAGAGCCAGCAATGATCTTTGCTTCCTTCACAACTTTTCGGGAACACAACACTATCTATTATCATGCAACATAAACTTATATATCATCTTCCATCCAAAAACAATGAGCCATTTGTATATAGGTGGGTGCTTTGGTAGTCCTGCTCTTTTAACCACTGTCGTTCCTTCTATAGAAGAACTCCTTGTGCAGGCTTTTTGAGACTCTAGCTCTTTGTTCTCTTTTTTTTTTCCCTTCTAAACTACCTTAAGATATGAGAAATAACAGAAAGAGTGAGAGAGAGATGAGAAAGAGATGAAAAAAGGTTTGTTTTTCTTTTTTTTTCCTTACTGTATGAAGTTTCCAATAGAGAAACGTGATCAATTCAATATGTTGCTAAACGACAAACGGGATCCGATGCCTCCAATCGAGTAAAGATGCTTTCCTTGGCCTTTTTCCGCTGCTTTGTCGCTTTTATTGCGATCTGTACGAAATACCAATAAATGGTTTTGTGCCAGGTTTCGTCTCACCATTTGATCGCTTTGTTTGGGAAATACTGCCAAGAAGAGATCAAGATCCCATTTTGAGTGTTCTTGATAGAACAAAGAGAGAACTTAGAACTCACCTTGTCAATGAGTGAGAGGTAATATGGTTTTGCGGCTTCCACATCGACTCTGACTTTGCTCTTGCTGTAAAGGTCATACTTGCTGCAAACGACAGAACAGGGATTTGTCAGTAGAGTTTTCGCAGCTTAAGCCGCTAACCAGAGACTAGAAAAGCTTACTCTCGGTCTAGCAATCTAAGCTCTCTCTTTGCTTACTTGAACTCTTCGAGCCACGGGTACATCTCGCGATCGAAGTCGTCCATAAACTGCTTGTAATCTCCAGCTCGATGCAAAGCTGCACGGAAACATAAATTGTAAGGCGACAACAAAACAAAGCACAAGTGAAACAACTATGCGAATGCTCCACATCAACAAACTTCTGGAAAGATTCTCGTGCGCAGGCAATACAATATTACCGTAGAAGGAGTGGTACCGAATGATAAAAAGAGCTTGTGGAGGCAAATTACAATCGTTTCGCTTGAGCACCTACAAAGTAAAGCTCGTTTAAGTGTTGTATAACTAAATAGTAAGAACAAGGACGAGCATCACGAGAAAAGCAAAGTTTACCACACCTGATACAGATACTCGTCGTGGCCCCATGACATGACTATCTTGTCAAGTCCACAGCCTAGCTCGTACACGCCATTGCCGGTGTTAAACCTGGGGTCACGAGAATCTGGGTTTCTGTCAAAAAACTGTTCAAAAAGGTGAGAACTTTCTCCGAGATTTTTTCTTCTTCTTCCTTTCCTTGCTTGCTCAATCGAGATCTAAACTAAAAAAGCTACTCACCTCCGAGTGCACGATCGATTTGCTAAACGGGCATCCTAGCGGGAATGTATCACCTGAGAGATAAAAGAAATTGTGAGTACGCTCGCTAGTTTACAAGCACGAACCCACGACAGCCCACTGCGGTTCTTCGCCAAACTTGGGGTGCAGCAACACCTTGCCAAGGTCTGTCAGGATAAAAAAAGTTTAGAAACAACACGACGAAGAAGAAGAGTCAAGAAAAGCTGCGTGTCAAGAGATCATATCTATCTATTTTTTACCGTGAATGAGGCCAGTTAAATGGAACCAGTCCTCGTTTGGATGATCCTTGCGAATAGCTTCCGCTGTTTGCAAGAGATGCTCGATTTGGGGCTCGTCCAGATCCGGATCGCTCTCGTCGACGTACTCGTTGAGAAGCTCGCAGCATTCCCAGATGCCCATCACGGCCTTGTCAAGAACAAGGTGTTTCTTCCTCATCTCCATTGCCTGCAGGAATGGAAGAGAAGAAGATATATACAATGCTCGTCAGTGACAAGCAGGATTTGCTACGATGATCCTTACGAAGTCATATGTTTGATTCGTATGGTTGATCTTATAGAAACTCTCCACTCCAGAACTCCGCTCGCTTTCTTTGTTATACTCCCTTCCAAGATCACAAACACACATCAGTGGAGCGAGAGAGATCGAGCTAAAACAAAACTAAAAGGAAAGTTATTATTACCGGAACTCGTGCCCAAACGCGTTCGCTCCAGGCTTCTCAAATGCTTGCATGGATCCGATCATACCCTTGGCGATCTCCGCGTCGTCGGGAGCTGGATCGTCCCAGCTCCTGCGCGACGGATCGATCAATGCCGGTATCGCGTCCACTCCCATCCTCGCGCCGGTTCTCCTCCCGCCCCGATCGATCGATCAAACCACAAGAAATAGGAAGACCTAAAGACCGCGTTCGCCAAAACACCTCGGACAAAAATATTCGCCTTGGGATGAGGGCATGTGCCAGCTTTGACTGGTCAGCCGGCGAGGCATGCTGACTCAGAGGATAGACATGCCGCCGTGGCCGCGATTCTAGGGCACGTTTAAAATACTTAGATATTTTGTTATTTAGCAAGAGGATCTTCTTGGTTTGATTCCATCGCCCTTGGCGCACAATGCTCGAATCCGGGGCGGCCAATCACAGCGCGCCTACCTTATCACCACACGATCGTCGCTTGTGGCTCACGAGCTCCCGTGACACGTGGAAGCTCGTATGACCATGGCTGGGGGTTGGAGCTAGGTTTTAACGGGCTGGTTGAGCGGGAGCGTCAAGCGATCGAGGTTTTGGGAGCTCCGGGGGCCATGAATCTTCCTGCATTGTGATATTTCGATCGGGGATCTCGATCGCGGGCTAGGGAATCGATCGAGATCGTCATTCATGGCGTCTTCGCTTTGCGCGGCAGCGTCTTCGCTAGGAATTTTGTCAGTGCATTCTCACACTCGAGGCAGAGGTAATCTCTCTTAGCAGTCATTTTGTTCCATGGAAGCTGAGAATGCTGGATTGATTGGTGCAGTAGGAGCTGGATACGAAGGACTTAGATATTACAATGACCTCGATGATCATCTCAGAGCTGTGAGTTTCTTGCTATAAGCTAGAAGTATGATTGTTTTCCTTGAAAACTTTCACAGGACCTTTCAAGTCTATCGGCCGCGACAAGGATTCTTCCATCGACGCGTCCAAGCACGGTAAAGCGTCTTTGTCTTCTCTTTTCTTTCATAGCTTGACTTGATGTTCTTTGAAAAATGTGTGTAGAAAATCTCAGCAATGATGGGAAATGGTCTCTTCACTCAAACCAGGCCCGATGTGCGAAGGATCGTCCCGGAAGCCAGGCCGAGCACAACGGTTGTCAAGGTGGTCTACGTTGTTCTTGAGGCACAATACCAGTCCTCACTCTCCGCGGCGGTAAGGAAGCTCAACAAAGCTAGAAACGACGTCCAGTTTGAGGTGGTAGGCTACTTGGTCGAGGAGCTCAGGGACAAGGACAACTACGAGATGTTTTGCAAGGATCTCTCCAACGCCAACATTTTCATAGGATCGCTCATATTTGTCGAGGAGCTCGCGCAGAAGGTGAAAGAGGCGCTGGAGAAGGAAAGAGAAAGGATGGACGCTGTTCTTGTCTTCCCGTCAATGCCGGAGGTGATGAGACTAAACAAGCTGGGATCCTTCGCCATGTCGCAGCTGGGACAGAGCAAAAGTGCCATCGCTCAGCTGATACGGAGGAAGAAGAAAGAAAACGGCGGAAGATTTGAAGAGTCGATGCTCAAGTTGGTCAGGACAATTCCGAAAGTTCTGAAGTATCTGCCATCCGACAAGGCTCAGGATGCAAGGAAGTTCCTTATGAGCTTACAGTTCTGGTTAGGAGGCTCGTCAGAGAATTTAGAGAACTTGCTGCTCATGGTTTCGGGGTCATACGTTCCAAGTCTCAAGGGGAAGGATTTAGCATATGGAGAGCCTGTAGTCTTTCTGGACACTGGGATATGGCATCCGCTCGCTCCTACGATGTTTGACGACGTGAAAGAGTACTTGAACTGGTACGGGACGAGAAGAGACATGAGCGACAGCCTGAAAGATCCGAATGCTCCCATAGTCGGCCTTATTCTCCAGAGAAGTCACATTGTAACGGGGGATGATGGTCACTACGTAGCCGTTGTCATGGGACTGGAAGCTAAAGGTGCCAAAGTCGTGCCAATATTCGCAGGAGGACTCGACTTTTCCATGCCGGTGGAGAGGTTTTTATACGATCCCATCTCGAAGAAGCCACTTGTTCAGTCGGTGGTGTCGCTAACCGGATTTGCACTGGTCGGAGGGCCTGCCAGTCAAGACCACCCTCGAGCAGTGGAGGCTCTAACAAAGCTGGACGTCCCATATCTCGTGGCGCTTCCTCTTGTTTTCCAAACCACGGAAGAATGGCTTGGAAGCACGCTGGGTCTTCATCCAATTCAGGTGGCTCTTCAAGTTGCTTTGCCGGAACTAGACGGAGGATTGGAACCAATTGTCTTCTCTGGTCGCGACAGTCGGACAGGTACTGCTCAGCTTTGATTTATTTGGTTTTCTAACGAACGTTTTCCTTTGTTTCTTTCAGGAAAGTCGCATGCTTTACACCATCGCGTGGAGCAGCTTTGCACCCGGGCTGTTAAGTGGGCCAATCTAAAGCGAAAGAGTGTGGTAAGCTTTTGTTGATTTTGTATCCCCACGAAAACGTTTAAAACGTGGACGACATGCAGGCAGATAAGAAACTCGCGGTCACAGTCTTCAGCTTTCCACCAGATAAAGGAAATGTGGGAACCGCGGCTTATCTCAACGTGTTCTCTTCAATCTTCAGTGTTCTAACGGATCTCAAAAAGGACGGCTACAACGTAGATGGTCTGCCAGAAACAGCCGAGGGCCTGATCGAGGACATTCTTCACGACAAAGAAGCGAAGTTTAGCAGCCCCAACCTGAACGTCGCATACAAGATGAGCGTTCGAGAGTATGAGAAGCTGACTCCGTATGCCAAATCTTTGGAAGAAAGCTGGGGTAAGCCACCAGGGAATCTAAACTCAGATGGTGCCAACTTACTCGTCTACGGGAAGCAATATGGAAACGTTTTTATTGGAGTGCAGCCAACTTTTGGATATGAAGGCGATCCTATGAGACTTTTGTTTGCGAAGTCTGCCAGCCCTCACCACGGTTTTGCGGCTTACTACACGTTTCTCGAGAGGATATTTGAAGCGGACGCAGTTCTCCACTTTGGTACTCATGGCTCGCTCGAGTTCATGCCCGGAAAGCAAGTTGGAATGAGCGACGCCTGCTTCCCAGACAGCTTGATCGGAAACATTCCCAACGTTTACTACTACGCAGCAAACAATCCTTCCGAAGCCACTATTGCCAAGCGGAGGAGCTATGCAAACACCATCAGCTATTTAACGCCTCCAGCGGAGAATGCCGGTCTTTACAAGGGGCTGAAGCAGCTCAGCGAGCTCATTGCATCATATCAGTCTCTCAAAGACAGCGGCCGAGGAAACCAGATCGTTAGCAGCATCATAAGCACGGCAAAACAGTGCAACCTTGACAAAGATGTGGCATTGCCAGAGGAAGAAGTCGACTTAAACCCGGAGGAGAGGGACTTGGTGGTTGGAAAAATATACGGAAAGATCATGGAGATTGAGTCCCGGCTATTGCCTTGCGGCTTGCACGTCATTGGAGAGCCTCCGACTGCCTTAGAAGCTGTGGCAACGCTCGTCAATATTGCCGCTTTGGACAGGCCAGACGAAAACATCTATGGTCTTCCTGGGATTCTTTCTTCGGCCGTTGGTAAGGATATGGAGAGCGTTTACAGGAACGCAGACAAGGGAAATTTAGAAGACGTGGAGCTTCTCAAGGAGATAACTGATACGTGCCGGGAGATCATATCTTGCTACGTCAACAAGACAACTGACAAGAACGGCCAAGTCGTCAATGTCCTCGACAAGCTGGGAAACTTTGGCTTTCTCAACATGGGAAGAAAAGAGCCGTGGCTCGAGGTGGTATACAAAACGAAGTTCAGGGACGCCAACCAGGAAAAGCTCCGGGTTCTTTTCGATTTTCTCAACGAGTGTCTCAAGCTCATCGTGGCGGACAACGAACTTCAGGGACTTAAGCAAGCTCTAGATGGGAGATATGTGGAGCCCGGTCCAGGAGGAGATCCTATCAGGAATCCGAAAGTTCTTCCGACTGGAAAAAACATCCATGCATTGGATCCGCAAGCAATCCCAACGATAGCTGCTCTTCAGAGCGCCAAAGTCGTGGTGGAGCGCCTGCTGGAGCGTCAGAAGCTGGAAAACGAGGGAAAGTATCCCGAGACAATAGCTCTGGTGCTGTGGGGAACGGACAACATCAAGACTTATGGAGAGTCGCTTGCTCAAGTTCTATGGATGCTTGGAGTCAAGCCGGTGCCGGACGCCTTGGGACGTGTTAACAAGATCGAGCCTGTGTCGCTGGAGGAGCTAGGAAGGCCAAGGATCGACGTCGTGGTGAATTGCTCCGGGGTGTTTAGAGACTTGTTCATCAACCAGGTCAGTTTTCTTCCTTGTTCTATCATCGGTTTTCTTTGTTTGAGATTCGACACTGACCAAAGTTCGCTCGTGTAGATGAATTTGCTCGATCGAGCAGTGAAGATGGTCGCAGAGCTGGACGAGCCTGCAGAGCAAAACTTCGTCCGCAAGCATGTGCTGGAGCAGGCCAAGAGCCTCGGCGTGGAAGTTCGCGAAGCTGCAACACGCATCTTCTCCAACGCCTCGGGCTCTTACTCCTCAAACGTCAACCTGGCGGTGGAAAACTCGTCGTGGGACAACGAAAAGCAGCTGCAGGACATGTACCTGACGAGGAAATCCTTCGCCTTCGACTCCGACACCCCAGGCGCGGGGATGAGCGAGAAGCGCAAGATCTTCGAAGCGGCTCTGGCAACGGCAGACGCGACTTTCCAGAACCTCGACTCGTCGGAGATCTCCCTCACTGACGTCAGCCACTACTTCGACTCGGACCCCACGAAACTCGTCCAGAGCCTCCGAGGCGACAAGAAGAAGCCCAGCGCGTACATTGCCGACACAACCACGGCAAACGCTCAGGTAAGAGTGGAGTGTTTCTAGCTTCTTGTTCTTCCAAGATCTAACAAGCTTCTCATCGATCAAACAGGTAAGAACTCTCGGAGAAACCGTGAGGCTGGACGCGAGAACCAAGCTGCTGAATCCAAAGTGGTACGAAGGCATGCTGTCGAGCGGCTACGAGGGCGTGCGCGAGATCGAGAAGAGGCTGACGAACACCATGGGGTGGAGCGCCACCTCCGGCCAAGTCGATAACTGGGTCTACGAGGAGGCCAACACGACGTTCATCGAGGACGAGGCGATGCAAAAGCGGCTGCTCGAGACCAATCCAAACTCCTTCCGCAAGCTCGTCGCCACATTCTTGGAAGCCAACGGCCGCGGCTACTGGGAGACCTCGGACGAGAACTTGGAGAAGCTCCGCCAGTTATACGCCGAAGTGGAGGATCGCATCGAAGGGGTCGAGAGGAACTAAAAGGTAACACATTGTAAATTATTTTTACAGCAATAAATTACCTCAAGTTTTTGTTACCTCATAGAGGAAATTATTTTTACAACAAAAGTTACAAAGTTTTTATCAATAACTTGACATGGATGTCACAAGGTTAAAACTCTGTAAAAAAGAAACTTTCGTGGACGGCAGGATTCGAACCTGCGCGAGTAAAACTCACATGGCATGCCCGATAACCACTCCGGCACGTCCACGTCACCTACACGCCATGGAAGTGTTCTTCCCGCCAAGACCGCGAGCGTTTTTCTAAAATCTAGGGCTCATATTTTATTCGATGGGGGAGGAGGAAGAACAGGAGCATCGTGCTGAGCGATCATGGCGGCAGTGCCCGGAAAGATCCCGGCCAGTCAGCGTGCTGTTGCTTTCGGTAAGCTGGGCCTACTCTCACGGGTGTCTTGTTGTCGTTCTCGCGCCGCGCGATTTCGTCCTGGCTACCTCTCCCTCTCACCTCGACGAGGTCTCGCGGCCGCCACTTGCACTGCGTCAGTCGCTATGGATCCACTGCAAACCGATCGCCTGGTCGCGGAGCTGCGCGATGCGTTCCGGAGCGGGCGGACGCGCCCCATGGAATGGCGCGCGGCGCAGCTCCGCGCCATGCTGCGGATGATCGATGAGCGGGAGGGGGAGATCATCGAGGCGCTGGATCGGGATATTGGGAAGCCAGCGTACGAGACATATGTTGCGGAGGTGGGAGATTTTTTTCTTCCTTTGTTTTTGTCGCTCTATAAGTTTTTGTTGTCTCAGCTCTCGACGATAGCCAATTCGTGTACAAATGCTCTCAAACATCTCAGAAGCTGGATGGCTCCAGACAAGGTAGTTTTGATCGATCGATTTTGCAAAAGATCGTCTTTTGCTGCTGGCAGGTCTCGACATCGATGATCAGCTTTCCTTCATCCGGAGAAATCGTCCCAGAGCCCCTCGGCGTTGCGCTCGTTATCTCTGCCTGGAACTTCCCTTTCCGTGAGTCTCTGGAATTCTAGTTCTCATGACTAGTGTTTTCTTTTCTTTTCCTGTAGTGCTGTCTCTGGATCCCGTCATCGGTGCCATCTGTGCTGGGAACGCGGTGGTCTTGAAACCATCGGAGCTTGCACCGGCCACTGCTGCTTTGCTTGCAAAACTGGTTCCTTTGTACTTGGACAAGAAGGCCATTCGCGTTGTAGAAGGAGGTGTTCCGGAGACAACAGCTCTTCTGGATCAGCAGTGGGACAAGATTTTCTACACTGGTAAGTTGATAACTTCTTTTCAACTGGACGAAGGAAGAACTCACTCTATCATCGCAGGGAGCACGCGTGTGGGCAAGATAGTCATGGCTGCTGCTGCCAAGAATCTGACACCGGTGGTGTTGGAGCTCGGGGGAAAGTCCCCGGTTCTTGTTGATTCCAATGTAGATGTCAAGGTACAGTCCATTGCGTGACTTGTGGAATAACTTGTGAGTCCATTCCTAACTTTACATTAGGTGACTGCGAGGAGAATTGCTCTTGGGAAATGGGGCAACAACAACGCACAAGCTTGCATCTCTCCCGATTATATCCTTGCTGACGAATCGGTGGTACCAAAATTGGTACGCTTTTTATTTCTCTCGCCTCTTTCTTCTGTCGCTTCAACATTAAGTTGTCGCAGATAACTGCCATCAAGGAGTGTTTGCTTGAATTCTATGGGGATGATCCAAGCAAGTCCAAGGACATCGCTCGCGTCGTCAATGGCTCTCACTTTGAACGCCTCACGGGCCTCTTGGACGAGGACGGGGTGAAAGACAAGATAGTGTTTGGAGGAGCACGGGACTCAAACAAGCTGTACGTTCATTTTTTGTTTTCTTGTTCGTGTCTTACTATTTCCCTGAACCCCCAGGTTCATCGCTCCCACTGTTATCCTCGATCCTCCCGCGGACAGTGCCGTCATGACGGAGGAGATTTTTGGACCACTGCTGCCCGTCATCCCGGTGAGTTCTTTTTTTCTCCAGTGCCGCACACATACTCAGTTTTTCAACAATAACAGGTTGACTCCATGGAATCCGCCATGAGCTTTGTAAACACGAGGCCCAAACCTCTGGCCCTCTATCTCTTCACTCGCGACAAAGCTCTGGAGAAGAAGGTGGTCAGCGAAACATCAGCGGGAGGCATGGTTGTCAATGACACAGTTTTACATGTAAGTGTGAACGTTTTGTTAGTGGATTTTTGATGTTTTTGGTCCTTCGCAGTTTGTCACCGAGACAATGCCTTTCGGTGGCGTCGGGCACAGTGGAATGGGGGCGTACCATGGCAAGTTCTCTTTCGATGCTTTCAGCCACAGAAAGGCCGTTTTATACCGAGGCTTCTGGGGGGACATGGCGTCGCGATATCCTCCTTACACCATTGCCAAGCAAACTTTTGTAAAGAATTTTCTCCAAGGGAACTATCTGGAAGCGATCAAGGCCTTACTCCAAACTCTAAGATCATGATAGATCCTCTATGATGCGAAACTCAACTTTATAATTTTAAATGTTGAAAGTTTTGATAGGATATTATATGCTTTCTATCATTCTTTTACGAATAATTTCGATCGCGTCTTTTGGAGGTGTGGTCTTGAAAAGATTTCCCCTTTCCTCCACAATCCCAAGTCTCAGGAGCTTACCAACAGCATCCTTGACTTGGAATTCACTCGTCCCACTCTGGAAAGTGTCCATGAGAATATTATTGCATTGATCTTGCAGCTCCTGCAATGAAACTTAGCGATGCCCAGAACGCAAATATAAATTAGACAAACCTCTTCGTCAAGACACTTTTCGTCAGGCTGCCTAAGTAAAACATAGTACGCTATAATAGCCTCTTTCACCTGTTTTATGCAGACAGACACCATTTTAAAGAGCTCTATGAGTTAACATCCTTCTCACCTCTTGCTGGATGGCCTCATCCATAACATACAAGAGAGTTCCATGTCCACAATCAAGCTGTTTATCCTCCATGAGCTTGTTGATGAGCCTCTCGTACTCGAGAACATTCATAGTGAACCTGCATTCATAGTGGAAAATCGATGAGAAAGAAGCCTTAGTTGCTTGATAGATTGACACTTACGTTAGATAAACTTTTGTGGCATAACTGAAAAAAACTACAAGCATTCCGATCACCAGGCCCATGGGATTGTGCTGCCGCAAGGCTGATAGAATCCCCACCTAAAGACCTTGAGCGATAAGCTTAATTCTGAAAACATTGGACTTACTAGAGAAATGAAGAAGAACACCAAAAGTGTGATCCAGTCCGTAAATGGGAGCTTTGGATGCTTTTTAGCGGGCTGTAATAAAAACAAAATCGTGAGATAAGTGAGAGATATAGCATCGGATATTATACCAGGATAAGCTCCATGTCTGCCATTGGAATTCCCTTGTAGTGCCTTATGTGAATGCCGCGCTCTCCATGGCAGGAAGTATGGGTCAAACTTGTGGCTTTCCTGTACGCAATCTCAATTCAGCGAAAACTCTCAAAACAACTCATGAAAACAACCTGTAGACTATGATCATGTGATCAAATGTTGGCTCTTGCAGATCGAGCTTCTGAAAAAACTTCTTAAATCGGAACGAGTTTGACACGTGAATTCGCTTCACACATATGAAGTTCTCAGACGTCCTGCCATAGAGTGAACTAAGATTATTGTAAGTGCTTCGGAGTAAATGAATAAAACTTACCTTGCAGGTTCCGACTCGCGACTCTTAGACTCTTCTGCAACAGACTTCCTGCGGCAAAAGCTCACCAACCTTGTAAGGATCAGAAGAAGTATGGGCTCACATACCCCAAGAGCCAGCGCCATGCTTTCACAGCATAGAGTTTGATGGTGTTCCAGAAAAATTTAAGGATGCAATCAATCTTTGCTTGATAGAACTGACCGCTCTTTCTATCTATCCCAATGCCTCGACGAAATATTACGTAGAGGGAGCCTAAGTCCCCGCCAGGATTGATATCGTGATATTTCGAGTCCTTGAAGAACTGATCGTCAAGCTGGACAACAGAAGGAAAGACGTCGTCATTCAGAATTAATTCTTCATCCTATACTACGACCTTTTTCCGATTGATTTTCGTGGTCAAATGGAAGAGATACTGACTGGAGGTGGCCACTTTCAGCTCTTGCGCGCTCAAAGGCTTGAAGTTACTTTTGTCCATGGCCTGAGAGCTTGTCTATATTATAATCACTGAACCGTAGCAGGAAAAGTGAGAGACACTTACGTCGGATAAAAGCTCGAGAAATCTATCCTGACTTTCCTTGACTTGGGATTCAGAAAAGCTTTCCAGCTTCTTGACATTGCCAAGAGGATTGAAGAGCTCATAGACATCCTGCAATGTTCTTTCAATGAAAGAGAAGAAAACTTGAAACAGTAGACCAGACGCTGTAGCTTACAGTGAGATTCTCTCGTCTAGAGCGGTACTGCAAGGCGATTATTTGCTCCAGCTTGTCACAAAGCAGCAGAAAATCATCCCGATGCGCTGAAAAGGCAAGGGGTCTTATAAACCAAAATGCTACGCAATCTAGTACCCTGACCGATAATGGAAGAGCAGAGCTTGGAGATGAGCTCCTTCTTGGGAATCTCGATCACAATCTCCCGCTTGAGGCGGATGCTGTGGTCCTCCACTCGCAATTCGATCTCCGACCTGCCCCTGTGACAAGAAGCACAATCAGGGGGCGGGCGAGAAAGATGAAAGAATCAAACATACGCAGTGTACTTACATTGCTTTGGCAAGAATAGAGGGATGGCGCCCCCGCCCAGCTGCATTTTGTTCGCGGCAGCGCCATCGCTTTGCTTGCTGCCTACTCGTGAATCTCCTCCTTGCGGATCAAGGAAGAAAATAAAAAATATTAGGGCTCTACATTTGAATAATCGAGGGCGTGACGTGGATTAGGGCATGCGAGGTGGGCCCGTTAAGGGTAACTAGCTGTTTCTCGAATATGCTTACTTTAATACCCTTTCTATTATTAGGCGCCCTTACCCTAACCCTAACCCTTCTAACCTTTCAGGAGAAATGCCATTCCTTGCCAGGTCTGTGACATTACAATCCATCTGTGAGTTGTCATGCGGCCTACGTGGCTCGTGCAAGGCCTCAAGGTGGACTTAAACAATTGGGGCGAATTTTACTCGCCACACCAGATCGATTGGAATGAGCTCCTCCTTTTTGAATAAACATATACTGTCAATGTCCGCTGCGCAAAATTCAGAGTTGGAGATATTCTCTGGAACAAAACATATATAGAAAGGTGCAAGTTTTACGTAGTTATAAATTGAGGAACTATATCCCCTCCTGTCAAATCTATTTTTATTTCATTGAATTCCCCCTAATAAAAATAGATTCACATCATAATATATTTGATTGCATAATGAGATTCAGCACTTGAAAATTTATGGCTTTCAAAAGCAATTATATGACTGTCTTGCGTGAGCACAGCACTAATTCCCGCATCACTTACATTTGTTATCACTATGAACGACTTTGCAGCATTTAGAAGAACAATGATAGTTGTCATCACTACCATCTTAAGCTGTGCAAACCTAGAAGCTACTGCTTTATTCCACTTTATAAAGAAACAGAAACAGCATTAATGTATACCACAGAAACAGCATTAATGCATACCACAGAAACAGCGAGCAAACCACTACACATGTGTTGTTTGTTTTTTGTTTCAGGCAAGCAAGAAACAAGCCAATCACTACACATGTGTTTTGGCTGACCAAATTATACTACTGCCCTATAGTAATATTTATAAAGAGTTAAACTTTTCTTATTGCTTGATACAAGTATGGCGTGCAATTCGTAAAAGGGTGGATTTTACAACTGTGGATTTCATTCACACCACGTGTATGCTTGCTATTGGTCCACATGTATTATGAGTGTGAAAAAAACACAGGCATAGAATATTTTACGAATATCCAATCCTTATGCCCCGGATGGGGCATCATGCCCATAGCAATGACCCATGCTATGTATGGAATGGAGCCATTCATGGCCCATAGACCCATTCATCCCATGCATTCGACCAAGTTGTTAATGTTGCAAACCAAATGGACAATCGACTAAATTGCATACCATACTACCTTATCTAGAGCACTATGTTCTCACGTCTTGCTCTTGGCGCTCATGGCAAGAGTTTATCTTTCGTTGCAATGCATTTACGAATTGCACGCCTTTTTTAACATAGTGTCATAGCAAGCATAAGTGAACTCCATCTAGAATTTGGGATCGCTGTGTCCTCCCCACATTGCCGACCGCCGCTGTGCTGCTCGCAATCATCGATGCTCCCATTGTTACCCGCCGCAGCGTCTAGGCAATCATTGAATCCTCTTGCTTCCTCCGTCTTGCATTGTGATTCTTGAGGTGCATTCACCATGGACGTGAAGAACTCCTGGGCTCTCATAGCTGGAAAATGTTGGAAATTGAGTCACACCTGGGCACACCTCTTTTAACATAGTGTTTATAGCAAACATAAGTGAACTCCATCTAACTCCATTGCAAAGCCATGGATATATACTATCTGGAGTCATGTTTTTAATGGATCCCATTGAGTTTATCTTTTGTTGCAATTGATTTCCAGTGTAGCTCTCTCAACACTTGAGTTTTGTACCATGATGCTTAGAAGATTTGCATATGACTCAAAAGTAGGTTGAAGTCTAACCAATTCAATGAATTGGTGGGGCTTATACTTCAATTGTAAAGGTGCATAGTGTTGATGTTTGGACCTAGAGTTCTCTCAAGAGGAGCATGCTAAAGGAAATTTGAGAATGTGGAAGTTGCAATTGCATGTAGTAACATTCAGGATAACAATAGACACTTTCAACATTTTCCAATTATAATTGTTTCAAATTGGACCTGGAGTTCTCTCAAGAGGAGCATGCTGAAGGAGATTTGAGAATATGGAAGTTGCAATTACATGTAGTAACATTTAGGTGAGAAGAGCAATGACAATGGACACTTACAATATTTTCCAATCATAACCGTTTCAAATTTTGAAATTTGTAAAAAGGGTTTCCAAGCATGGGGCAAAACTATCCAATGTATGCCGTGCGCTACGGCCGAAGAACTGGAGTTTTCAGGGATTGGAAGCTCGTGCTCACTTTGGTAAGAGTAGATTTGTAATAGTTTCCTATATGGTCTAACCCTTTTGCAATGTTTGAGGTTTTTGGGTTTCCTCCTAGCATGGCAAACTAGAGAGGATTTTATGAGGCACAACAATGGATCCAATAGGGACAGGACTGAGGATTCTATATGATGCCTCCTCCTCTCAAGGCTCGACAATCCCTTCGACAAGGCAGCCTAAGACTACTTCTAATCTTGTGTCAATCACCGAGGGGAAAGGTCCTGCTGAAGAAAGTGACAGTGAGGGATATGTTACTGCTCGAGATGCAAGCGAGGACGAGTTCACAAACCCAGAGGGTGATTTTGGTTCTACCAAACAGGTTGAGAGTTCCTCAAGTGAGGATGGGCATCATGTAGCACCCAAGCTCAATAGTTTTGACCCAGAACCTAAATTGGGAGCTGCTTTGGAAGCTATAATGATTACCCTTGGTGAGACAAGCATAAGCCAAAAGGGTACCAAGGGCCGCAAGTGCCTATAATGGGCATTTATAGAATATTTTGAATATTCTTACCTTTAACTTTGCCAATGAACTGGAAAGAGTCTCTTTCAAAGTGTGAAACATATTTCAAGACAATTATCTATTTTTATTGTGAAAGTGTCTACATTACTTCCACAACATCAGCCCAATCCATACAAGCTCTCTGGATTTTGGAGTGCCCGGTGGATCTTGTGTTTGGTCCACTCCTTTGACGGGTATGTTAAAGGGAAGAAAACTTCTCGTGTGCATGTGGAGAACCTGGGAAATCGAGTAGATGATGTACTCTGTCTCTCAACTTGGATCCAAATAGGCTCTCCTGGTCGGAACTCTAGAGAATCAACCGCAAAGTGATGGAACTTGGATAACTCTTTCGGGCTCATATCTATAAAATGTTCAAACATACAAGAGTTTTAGTTGTTTGTGAAAGTAAATAGTTACCTCGAATGATGTCCACAATCCAGTTGCGGAAGTTCTCTCCAAAGTCCTGATCAAAGATCAGGCAGTTGATGAATTCCGCAGGAGGAATGATCGTCCTTACCCGGAAGACCTGTAACAAAGCATCTGTCCCAATGAGTGAAAGCCCACCTAGCAATGCTGGACTCTTGTAAGGCCTCTAACGAGCTTCCATGCGCATTGAGTGTTGGAAGCCATCTTGGAGTAAGTCTCCCACTACGTTTGGCTCGATGAATAGATAACGCCAAACCACCGCAGCCATGCATGCCTCCACAGCCTACTCATAACCTTCACCAAGTTCGGTGAGTCTAGACTCAAGCACTGCATTGTAGTCAGTAATTGCAGGGTTCTCTAGGATGGAATCCACAGACTTGCACCGATCGCCCTCCTCTTTTAGGCTTGATGCACCTCACAATTGGTTGAGTGCATTCCAGATATGCGGCACGCATGCCTTGAGGTCCATCTCATATAATCCTCCTCGGGCAAGTCGTCAGTCATCCTCGTTTGGAACCTCTCCAACTGCAATTGCCAATGTTGCAATTGTACACCCGCGAGAAACTTGTGCATTACATTCGAACGCTTAGAATAGCAACCATCCCACAAAGATAGCCTGTGCATATAAAAATGAGGAGCATATAAAACTTGTGCTTTAAACTTAACTTACCACATCCCGCTTTTCTTGTCGTAACGTCCTAGAATGCACTGGCATCCCAGGATGCCAATATGTGGCTCCTTCCCTAAGCACAAACAGTCCACGCGTCTATAACACAAAGTTACTCTAGTGAGCCAAGTGAAAATTAGACTTACCGATCCTGGAATCTAGCGAACAGCCTCCCTAATGGCTTTTGCATGTGGCCCACCCGCATCTATTGTGGATTCCTCCCACACCAAAGCTCCTCCAATCTCAGACGCATAGACTACTTTGTAATTCGGTGTGCGGAGATTAGTATTGAAGGTGAATTGGAAACAACTGAATTTATTGTTTGGTGCAATCTAGAAGGACAAGTGAGGTAACTCCAATTCATAGGCAATCCATTGCTTACCAGAATGCAAGATGGCCTCAAACGTGTACGAGCAAGTCTGTATGGCCGAAGCATAGCCTTCTCGATGCAAAAACGAGAGAACTTATAATACAATGTTTCAGCAATGTCAAATAGTTCTCTCAATTGTTGTGCAGCCGCCCAATTCCTACGTAGGTCCCTGCACAAAACCATAAGATGGTACTAAGTGCTAAGAAATAGATACACGTACCTCTTCTCAATGAACCGTGCTATTGTGGATTTAAGAATTGAAGGAAGCACATTAATACTTACTTTAGCAAGGAGCTGTTGGATTGTGTTGTCACAAAACACATCCTCGTACTGTGCTTCTGAAAGGCCAAGCTTAAGGAGAAGACTCTCCCAATCTTGCCAATGAGGCATGGCTTGGTTGAAAAGCACGCGCCGCAGAAATATTTCGCCGCCAGCCCAATGGAATTCAGGGTGTCTAGCAATAACGTCTAGCATCTCCTCGTCACTTGTGCTCTCCACGCCAAAGCAACTAAGAAGCTTGTGTTTCAGCCACTGCACCTGTGAGAGAACTTCAACATCCCCCTGTGCCCTCACCTCAAGGGTTGTGGTGGCATCCTGTAAGGCAAAAACCTCCTCAATCTGCAGCATGATGAAGTTGGCACTATCCTGAGTGGTTAACTGAACAGCTTCATTAAATGCATTGGTGGCATCAATCCATCTTTGTTGACACTCCAACAATCTACATGCAAACATTAGTTCAATTTTGAATGCCACAATTTTCAATTATCTTACTCTACTG